TTGATTGGTTGATTGGATTTATAGGGATTATCAGAGCCATTTTGGCTATATTTTTTATAAATCAACAGTTCAATTACCAGACTCCTCCATCAGTTTTTGCAACAATCATAGTAAAGGTTAATCGAGATGCCAATAGCACTGTCAGCTGGATAGCTACCGAGGTCTCCTTTAAAGATGCCAACTTACAATTTTTTTTAAGTAGGAACTTCTCTCGTGTCAACTCACAATATGTATTGCGGTAGGGATGCTAGTCATAATCGGCTTTTCCAGTTGAATTATTCCAAGTTAGCGATTAATTTTTGAGAAGATTAGAGAGCAGCAATTTCAAAGTTTGAGTAGCTTCCAGAACGCACACAGAAAATGCTGAGAGTCCCAGTGATGAGCCGAACCCATCCCGCTTCTGTCTACAACGGCAGAATCTCGCAAAACATATGACAGAGCTCTTAACTAGTACCTGTGCTGACTGTATGGTCCATCGTTTGACCCGTATATATGTAATAGTCCTTCCTTTAGTAAGTTGAAACGTCTGAGGACTCTAACACAACCCTATTTATTAGTCAAACTCACGCCGCCACCTCGTGGCTCTCTGTTTGTCTAGCGCCAAGGGTCCTGGGATGGTAATCCTATTAGTCGGAGGATGGGCCCGTGTATACTCTACGTCAGTGAACCCGATGCCGTAGTTGCGAGCTAGTGGCGCCAGTTCAATGAGGAGAAAGAAATTTAGTCACAAAGTGGTGACGTGAATTGGACTGGTCTGTGTCACTACACTTTCTTCCCATCTACTGCAACGAATTACGTAGATGCATCACCAACACTGGTCAGTCCTTCCTCAACTCCGTACAAAATGAACGCATATACTAACCTCATTCCCATGCCTGGATACCTCTGAATCCTCATATATACAACAACCTCTCATAGAAGTCTCGCAATCAAGATCTAGAACTCTTAAGTCTCCGAAGGTACGCAAACCCAGTGTATCGTAAAACGAACCAACAACAAGCACTCGTGTTTTATCCCCTCCTCCGGTATGTATGACTCAAACTTTTGATATAATCGACGGCATTCCTGGTCTAATGATTGCGCAAAATAGGTCCGGACTCGTTGCCCTCAACTAGCACGCCATTCAGTACAGCGTCGCCTATGGACCTTTCGCAGATAATCGTAGCTTGGGTAGTGTACTTTTTGGAAGAAACACCAAAACAACTACTATATTCGATTCAATAGGCGTATTTATGCCTATTCCTTTAAGTCGGCAGAGTAGTAGCTGCGGATCGTGTCCTGCTTCCTCAACGCGCCTTTGCAACTCTGCTACTAGATCGCCGCCTACCCTTCACTTTCCTCGTCTACCCAGCCTTGCTATTACATTGCCGCGACTTATTTCGCTAGAATAGAAGCAACAGTCGCAGTTGCATCTACTACATATACCTTATCTCAGGGAGTTAGAAGTGATAGACGGGTTCGTTCATCTTACCTACCGTTCCCATTCCTCGTCTACTCAGCCTTGCCATCGCATTGCCGCGACTTATCTCGATAGAAAAGAAGAAACAGTTGCACTTGCAATTACTACGCATGCCTTGGTTCAGGAAGTTAGAAGTGGTAGACGGGTTCTTTCCCCTTACCTACCGTTACCCTTTCCACCCTCGAAATGACTAGCGCATTAAGTCTACTCAGATTTCTCTGCGCTCCAGGGTGTCGGACAACACACTACAGCAGCGCGCTTTACATACCATCCCCACAAGATCCCCCATGCACAAAAATGTCTTTCGCAGACGTGTCATATGCACACACTATAACTTCAAACAAACGAAACCGTTAAATAAACAGGGTCTCCAAAACGCCCGCTTATGTGCACCACTGGACGGACCATCCCTGCCATAAGCCACAATGTATCCTGCCAAGCCCATTCAAAATGCAAGTAAGACAACCACAGGAAATAGCAATTAAGGGTAGTGGCCCTGAAGAGAGCCTTCACAGGGTTCTCGTAGCGATCATTACATTCCTGGCAAGTTGCTACATCAGCAGTCCTTTACGCTGGCAGATTCCCACCAAATCAGATTTCAATTGCACTCATTTCTTCTCCTTTCGCATCTGCACGATATCCACTAGCAGTGATGCTAACCTGTACAATGGCCGTACTCCAACCTGTTCCAGTGTTTTGGTATACCCGGGACTGGACTCGCCCATAACTTCCAAATAAAAAGTATCAGTGACTACCAAGGGAGTAGAGGGAAGGAAAACTACCCATCTTCTTGTCATTTTACGCTTGCGTATTTGCTACTTATTTAGATTGAGTAGTTTGGGTTTATTTACGCTAACTTCTTGCCGCACAGTTTGAGCAGTTGCAACACCCTTATTATCCATATTAACGTGGGCGTTTGCGGTTTTAGTGATTTTGGGTTTTAAATTCAAGACTCCGTACACGACTATTGTTTTTGATCATATAGTCGAGATAGGCATATTTTTCTCGTAAAAATTCCATCTCCTTGCCTGTGACATTTTCTCGAGTGTCCCTTGCCGTGCATATTTAATGCGAGTTCTGATGGAATCATGACCTTTATTGCACTTCGTCCATACGAGCCCATAAGACTTCTACTGGTAACACCTTATTTCTCTTGAAACGAATTTTAGGTCGGCTCCTATGTGTCACATATGGCATTAGTGTGCTTGCGACGTCATCTCGATACCGACGTACCGATATACCATGAACTATGCGAAAACGTGTTGCAGCACGGCGAAACTAAGACGAATATGTAAATACTACCTATAGTAAAACTTTTATTTCACAGTGCCTGTATCTCCCACTCGATATGTTTAATCTGTTTATCCCCTTCCATTTAAGCCCACGGTTAGTTTTGAATGCATTTACATAGGTAGAACGACGAAAATGAATTTTTTGAAGTTTATTTTTAAATGGTCGAAAATAGCACCAAGGTAGAATGTACGCATTTCTGGTATAATATTTTTATGCTGTTACTCGTGAGATGTGTTGATATCGCAGCAGTTTTCAGGGGCGGGGGATTTAATGGACGATCCCAGTCAGCCTGTAGTGACTCATTCCGCGTAGACGCTCACGCGCGAGGGCTCGCCGATGCTAACGAGTGCAAGTGCACTGATGTCGGCCTCTGAGACAACCAATCACTGGTATGTATGTCTACCCCGGTCTGTCCAATCACCCCTCAAGGTTGACACGCGTAAAGGTCGTTCTCTGTGGCCGCTGGGATGACAGTCGCCAGGTCCGCACTCCGGACATGGCCCGGCTGCGGTGAAGACCTGCGCTCGTCCGACAGTCAACTTCCTCCTATCGATTCTCCATTCCTTGTGTACAGAATAAACTCATTCTACCGCTCTGGCCTCACATGTCTTCTCTTCTCCTAAGCAACCCGGCCTGGAGACCGCAACTGCTAGGGTTTTCTCTATTAACTCAACCCCCTGCGATAGACCGTCTAAACGGTAGCGATATATAGGAATGGTAGAAACTAAACTAACCGTCCGGTCGATAAGTAGGAAAATATCGATGGACGAAACGGCCTCGCAAGTCGGAGGTTGAGTCACGCGCGTGCTTGCGCAGTGCCTGTCGCGTGTGCTATATGGACCAAGAACGATGTGGGTAAGCGGCGGCGCGGACAAGCGCGAAAGCGGGCGACTACACACTATTGCATCCATTTTTTTTTCGATTGTCTTTTCTACGAAATGTCACAGACATCGGCGATCAAGTGTAGTATTTCTCGCCGTGCTTGAATCGGTCATTTATTATCCGCTCCTGCAGCACTGTTGGTAGCGATTCATCGTGGAGCCGCCAAATTGTAAAGGCCCCCTGTCCAAGTTTCTTACGGAAATCGTGGTTAAAGATTTAATGCTTGATTAAGCAGTAGGTAATGCGTATTTAATGCGTGGAAATTGAACAGTGGTAAACAAATTAAAGCTGCTTGTAATTGTTTTAGTAAGTTAAATGTGTATGTGAAAAGTATCAGAGTGTCGGGGTTCGAAATACTAGGTTATAACAAAAATCGACCGACATAAACCCCTATTGGTTCAGTAAAGGATGTCTATAGATGAATAAGAATTTTGGACAACTCCTACTGGTTGGCATAATGAGGGAAGTGGTTGGATAGACCGAGGTTAGACCTACTGAAAATTTGCAAGTAAGTGATTATTATCAATAAGAACCCTTAAAGGACTCCTCTGTGGATCTCTGCCCACTTTTTGTCACGCTAATCCACCAAAGCATTCTACCAGGAAACACATCAGACTCACGAAGGTGGTCATGGTCGAATACGAAGGATGAAATGCAGTTACTCGAAGAAGAGTGTACATCTAATGTCATCCAAAATTGTGAGAAAACTGAAAATAGTGTAAGCGAACATAGATTGCACATGAAGCCAAGAACATTGTGAATTTCCTACACAGGAACATTGCAACTGAAGCAAACAATCAAAAACAGTAATTACCTCCCTGGATCTAAAAGCTACTTTTAAGTCGGTGGTCCGAGATGTCATGTCAGCGTGCCCCAAACGAACAATAAACTGAACTACCACGGTTGCACTGTCTGGTGGTCAACGATTTGCCTTATGGTTGTTGAGACTACAAAACCAACCAAATAGGATCTTCCTTTAGATTCGCTGATGAACGTTCATTGATCGCTAGCGGGACACACTCATTTCTTTCTGCCTTGAGACCCACTCTAGAATCCCACCAGCAGCCGCACAGCGGCTAGTAGTGTAAGCAGAGCAATTAGCGAAGGTCCCGGGTTCAAATCTCGGGGGTGCCAACCCTCGAGAAGGATATGACTGGCTGATGACGGCTAATAAGCCAGAAATGGCCATTCCGGTCTACCTTGTCTTTGTCGGCAATATTCATTGCTCTCTACCTTTTAGCGTCTGTTGAGCCATGTATAAATAAAAATGTATCACTTTATTAATGCCTACAGAAAAATGAACATACAGGTTTTTCATATAAAAAGTTATCTGAGGACAGATGCTCGTAGCAAACTTGTGAAGACACTACAATTTGCGTTTCAGTTTGAAAACTGGCTCAGCTGGAGGCGCCACCACATGGACAAAGGGTTTCCGCAACTCCCGGCCTTCCTTGACCAGGGGGTAGAGAGGACTATCGGGATAGGGCGAGAGAGTTTCTGTTGAGATTGTGAAACGTCCATCACGGAGAGCCACTAGATCCCAAGTGTCCCGGTTCAACTTTACATTCTCACCGGGGTAGAATTCTAGACCGAGCTAGGGAGAAAGGTTGAAATTAAAATTACTCAACGTCAGTGCTGTGACCTCACTAGCACAGTATGTAATTGAGTTTACCAAAGCCAAATGTAGTCAGACCACACAGCCTATGTTTGACAGAAGCACGCCTTCGCACTTGTACGTAGAATGATCAATCA